TTTCTGAGAGTAACTGCAGTGTTAAGTGACTTTGAGGAACGCTCTTGTACCTGAAGGAAATCCTATAGGATAGATAACAACAGGCTTTCATTAAAAACCTCTCCCATTTACTGGGTGAAGAGGAGGTTAAGGGGTGGGGCTCATTCCCCATTATAGGAAATTGGGCCAATTTTGATACTGTGGCAAGGGAGAATTTCTCATGATTCATCACCCTGGTCATTGTCTATCGAGAGGTTTCCCAAAGTATGTTCTCAAGATCGATAACTTGGTGGAGAGCCCTCAGAAATTGAAACAGAACCAAAACAAAACCAAAAACCTTACTTCCATAGTCAAATACATTTAGGAAATTTTAGATTAAACAAGTATAAACAGCTTTCTTTATCTCATCCAAGAACGGATATAGGATTCTTTTCCAATTTTTTTGGTGTGTATTTTAGAAATGTATTTGCTCACAATAATATCTTTTCACTGTTTTGAGAAACACACTCTAACAAGATTATCTCTGATTTTTAAAATCCTTGAGCAGACACCGAGCAAGCCGATCTATCTCAAAGTCATGCTGATAAATACAGGCAAGCTCTCTTTACCTACTGATTCACTGGCTCTCAAAGGTTGCTCTGTTATCTCCAATTTCTCACTAGCTGTTTCTGGATACTAAAATAGAAAAGAAATGCTTCCTATTTCTTTCTTCCCTCTCTTTCTTGAAAAATTAGAGACAGATTATATAACCCTGGCCTTCCCCTGAGTATATTGCTGGTATATTCAAAAGCATTCCTCAGTAACTTGTTGAGTGGCTTTGCAGAGGCATCTCACATTTTAGATACATAGGAGGTTCCTTACTGTTTCCATACATCAACTTTTTTTCTCACTGATTTACATGACAGTTTCAGATGTATTATCAATTTGTGCTTGTGCCTCACAGATAAGTCCTAAGCTTCACTGCCTCCTTCTCTTTTCCATGATCTTCTCTGCCATGTACTTACTGATGTATAAACAAACACTTAAAAATACAAAAGACGATCCAATAGGAACTTTAGGAATATTTTTGAAGCTGAAGAGTCCTTTCAAAATGTGGGTGACTTGATAGAACAGACTAGAAAGTCCAGAAAGAAACCTAAATAGAAGAATTAAGTATATGCTAAAAGTGACATTTCAATCCATGGGGAAGAGATAGTGAGAGTTGAGACACTAGGTAGAAATCCAGAACAATAGTGAAGTTAAATCTACAAATCACTCACACCTGACCCAAATTAAATTCCAGATGGATTACAATTTTAACTTGAAAAATAAAACCATATTTGAGCTGACATAATACAAACTAAGCAATGTCCTTGTAAGTGACAGGTCACAGTGAAATTGTGGAAACTTTGGTAGGAAAAGCAAGATTCAACTCTTCCACTCAGTCTGGGAAATGATTTGGTAGACCAAAGAGAGGAAAGCTAAAGGGTGTTTGATATTTACATTTTGTGATGACAATAAGACACTATTAACATTAGTTATGTAATCAAGGGTGGCATATTTGGGGATTGTAGGAGCCCTGGTGAGAGATTAAAGGTAGATAGAGGACTATGAATGACCAGATAAAGAATTTACCCTTGGTTCTCTTTTTACTGGGGAACCTCTGGGAGTTTATGAGCTAGCTTTCTTTTTTTTGGAGGGGGTGTGCAGACTTTGTTATCCGTATGATATTTTTGGCCAGATAATTCTTCGTCATGGGAAACTAGCCCTGTGGATCACAGGATGCTTAGCAGTATCTGTGGCCTCTACCTACTAGATGCTAGTATCATCTCCCCCTTTACAATTGTGACAACCAAAAAACGTCTCCAGACATTGCCCAATGTCTCCTGGGCAACAAAATTATCATAGTTTGAAAACAACTGAGCTCTAGAATGACAGAATAATTGGCATTTTAAAAGGACTATCCAGTTGTGGCTATGTAGAATGGACAGAAGGACAGCAGGACAAGAACCTGAGAAAATGTATTAATGCTGTCCCAGTCCCCTAGCTATGGTATATTGTAATAGTAAAGGGCCTCTAATAAAGCACATCTCCCTGTATCCGTGCCCTTGCATAGTCCCCTCCCACACTGATGTAGGGCTTGCCATGTGACTTGCCTTGATCAAGGTAACATCAGCAACCATGACACAAACCGAGACTGGAAAGGCATTTATGCATTGGGACTTATTCTCTCGGAACACTGCCACCATGTAACAAAGCCCATGCTAGCCTCCTGAAGACACATGGTCCAGCTAAGAGCCAGCACCAACTTCCAGCCAGACAGGAGTGAGGCTTTCTAACACCACGCAGCCACAGTGAAGCCACCATGACTACATGATCCCAGGAAAGCCAGCAGAAAAAGTATTCACCTGAGCCCTGACCAAGCTGATGACAATGAAATTATGAACAAATGAAATGGTAGCTGTTTTAAATCACTAAGTGTCTGTTGTGTTGTTATGCAGTGATAGATAACTTGTAGTAGGTCTGGAGTAGATCACTATCACTGGAAATGAAAATATGTGTACACAAGGCATTCGGAAGAATCCGTATTTCTTTTTTTTTTTTTTTTTTTTTTTTAATTTTTTTTTTTTTTCAACGTTTATTTATTTTTGGGACAGAGAGAGACAGAGCATGAACGGGGGAGGGGCAGAGAGAGAGAGGGAGACACAGAATCGGAAACAGGCTCCAGGCTCTGAGCCATCAGCCCAGAGCCCGACGCGGGGCTCGAACTCACGGACCGCGAGATCGTGACCTGGCTGAAGTCGGACGCTTAACCGACTGCGCCACCCAGGCGCCCCAAGAATCCGTATTTCTTGATGATTCTTCAGTGAAGAGACTCAGTGAAAGGGCAGAGCAGGTCAAAAAATATAAGTGTTTATAAACCGAGTGCAAAGGTCAAGGGAATTCAGGAATGAAGTTGCATGAAGAGTTTCCAAGAAAGCACTTCTATCTAAGCACTTATGAATATTAACTCATCTATTTTGAAAACTACAGCTATTTAGTAATTGCTAACAGTATAATCATAATAATACTTCAAAGATTCAGTTTAATACATATATTTCTAAAGCTTTAAAAGCATTACCAAGCTAGCCACTTTTTACTTTATATGGAAAAATCAATCTTTAGACTAAACAGGAAAGAACATAAACTCAAAATCAATAACAATTTATATTGCACTGATGATAAAATTCATTTCAATGTATTAGCTGTCCACTTGTATGGAACTCTATTCACTTAGCAATTAGATTGCTAAGACCGGGGCCTCTAATAGAATGCCTCTCATAACTTACCAGTTGAATTTACAGATGGTGATTATCAGTGGTATTTACGGCTTGATAGATGCTGAGTGTTGACCCTGTTTATTGTACTATTCAAGAATTAACAGTTTCTCAGAGGGTTAGCGCTTAGTTTTATGTTTAAGAACACCAGCCTGAGGGAATGTCAGTTAAATCCCCTACTTTATTTTAATCATATAAAAAAATCAAAGTAATAAGCAATAAAGAAAATCCATAATGAGATAAAATGGAAATACAGACTCATAACTAAAAGAACTGGCAGTAAATAAAAGAACGTGTAAAGCATGGAGGGAATGGACAAAGTAAGTAAAGTAGGAATAACCAAAATGCATTTTCACAGGCTATTAGAATCACCAAAGGGAACATATGCATAAGTCATATAAGACAGTGAGGGTCTCTTGGAAACAGGACAAGATTTAAAAAAAAAATCAAAATGACAGAATTTTAAAGATCTTGTACCCATTAAACAGTCAGTATTAAAGAAACAATAGTATTGTTGAAATAAGTGTTTAAGATCAAAGGGTAACATGCATTTGGATATAGAATTCCCATAAGATTTGTTTAAAAAAAGGAAAAAAGCAACCCCAGTCTTTGTTTAAATGCTGCTGCCTGCCAAAGGATTTGGGTTATTAAGTCTTTTTTTTTTTTTTTTTTTTTTTTTTGAGAGAGAAAGAGAGCATTAGCAGGGGAGGGACGGGCCGGTGGGGGGGGGGGGGGGTGTCACAGGATCTGAAGCAGGCTCCAGGCTCTGAGCTATCAGCACTGAGCCCCACGCAGGCTTGAACTCAACTGAGGGTGAGATAAGGACTTGAGCAGAAGTTGGATGCATAACCGACTGAGCCATCTAGACGCCCCGGTTTTTACTTTTTTCTCAGGTTGAGGAAACAAGGACTGAGAAAAAATTACTTGGATGTGGGTATCTGGAAGATCTATGTGATTTCTAGTGTGTATTAACCAGTTGTACCTTAATGTTGGAAGGACCTGGGTTAAAGAAAGCCGGTAAAAACAGAGAACGGCGTCTTCTGTAAATCGTCTAGTTTACTTTGTCAAAAAACTTGTATATGCAGAAGTTTACCAATTTTCCGGAATTACAAGAGAATAAAAATACACATAACGTTCACCAACTTGGAATCCTACACCTTTTCTCTTTTTGTCCGGTTAGCTTTGCACACCTCTGCCAGCTCTTGGCTTTCCTGAGCAGTGTTTACGCGGAAGGGCCTGGGGACTCTAGTGCCAGGGTTCCGGCCGGGCCCCTAAACCCAAGAGCCCCCCAACCCAGGTTCCGCCGACTGGAGCTTGGCGCGGAAACCAGAGCGGGTTCCGGAGGCGTGGGAACCGGAGCCGTGCGCTCCTCCTACCTGGCTGGGCGGAGCCGGCCGGCCCGGAAAGTGAGGGCCGCCGGTCCCCGGCGCTCAGTTGCGGGCGGGCGGGCGGGGCTGCGCGGTGCGCGGAGTTGTGGGGGCGCACTTAACACTGCTCCTGGGCCGGTAGGGGCAGCGCGTGGGACCAGCGTCGAAGCGCGCCGCCCCCAGCCCGCCCAGGAGCCTCGCCCCGTCCGGACATTCCTGCAAGTGGCCGAACCAGCCGGACGAGCCCGACTCTCCGCGGTTCCCGGCGGCAGCAGGTGGCCCCGGAGTTCCTGCCCGTCACCTCAGCCCCGGCGGGCACTGCGCCCCGGAGCTGTCTGGGCTGTCCCCGCCGGGCGGGATGGAAGCGGACGGGGACCAGGAGGAGCTGGCCCGCTTGCGCTCCGTCTTCGCTGCCTGCGACGCGAACCGCTCGGGGCGCCTAGAGCGCGAGGAGTTCGGCGCGCTGTGCGCGGAGCTGCGCGTGCGGCCGGCAGACGCCGAGGCCGTGTTCCAGCGTCTAGACGCCGACCGGGACGGCGCCATCACCTTCCAGGAATTCGCGCGCGGCTTCCGCGGGGCCCGCCGCGGGGGGCGGCACCGGTGCTGGGGGCCTCGGGAGCCCGCGTCCACCGCGGGCCAGGTGGAGCCGGAAGGCGAGGAGGACGAGGGTGAGGAGGACGCTGCGGAGACGCTGGCAGCACCCTGGGGTCGCGCGAGCCCGGTCCAGGCTTGGCAGGACTTCCAGGCGCGACTCGGGGAAGAGGCCAAGTTCATCCCCAGGTGCGTGTATGGGTTGGAGGGCCGAAGGTGAGGATGGTGTTTCCTGTATTCCGGGTCCACGGACTCTGACTTTTTCAAGTCGAGACCCCCTAGAGTTGAAGAACGGGAGTGCGTTCAGAGTTCGGGTTTGGGGAGAAAGTTTTGCTTGCTTATTTCTGAGCCCCGCACAGGGCACTTTGTTAATTACCCGGGTCACAGTGAATTCCGCAGGGTCCAGAGTTTCTTCCCAGGCAAGGGTTTGGGAGCGCTCCCTACATTTAATCGCACTTTTTACCAAGGCCTCCATGCTGCACCCCGGAGCGTCGCTGCGATCGGCATACTCTACAAGTAGTTTTTGTATTTGTTGTTTTCTTACAACTACATAGAAGATCAAACATGTTGGGCATTTATATTCCTGGATTCGCATATTCATTGATGCGTACTATGTTCTAGGCATTTTACAGAGTTCGCTCATTTAATTGTTGCAACAACCCTGGGAAGTGGGTTTTCTTATTTCTGATTGTTGGGGAAACTTAAAGACTCAGAAATTTAGACCTGTAAGATATTAAGGGACTTGACTAGTTAATAAAAGAGCAGGGATTTGATCCCAGATATTGTTGAACTGAAAAACTGGTTTTATACAATGGAATCAAATGATAAAATCATACAATTAATTCTCTACTCCTATGGCTCCGACAGAAATAATATCAAGTTACTAACTTACTTCTTAGGGGTTAAGGGAATGCCTGCAGGGGCAGGGCAGGGAAAGAAAGATACTCAGGTTTTATGCAAGAGAAATTTGCATGTGTCCCTGCTTTCCTGCCATGGTGTGTCTTGAGCTGCCAGTTTCACTTCTTCCTCTGGCACTACAAACACGTGAATGCTGTGAAAAGTATATTTCTGCTCTCTGTTTGGATTTTTGGTTGAAAGCTTATGGAGCTCTGATTGTCATTATTAATAACTGAAAGGTGTCATTCTGGCTGGCAATTCACATGTCTTAGACTTAAGACTCAGAGAAGCAAGTAGCCCTGGGAGGGGACAGTGGTCTGGCTCACTCATTCACAGCGTGGACCTGCAGACCTGGAGACCTGGGTTCCACTTCCTCCTCTGCCCAGCTCCTCCCTCCAGTTTGGAAAGTGAGGCATGGAGAGTGACTCAGAGCAGTATGAGGCAGATGTGTAGAGAAAGTGGGTGTGATACCCATTTTTCTGTTATTTACAAATGAGTTAAAATGCAATGGCTCTACCAGGAAAGTAGAAAAATGTAAACATTGCTATAAACAGTATTCTTTGCGTTATCTCTTATCTGTAACTTGGTTTAGGTCTGCCTAATGAAAAGTAACAATTTTAGGAATAAGGAAAGGTGAACCCATGCCATGCTTTCTATCCACACGCGGATCTACTTTTCACAGTTGTGAACTCTCAGCAGCAAATATATGACACTTAACCATTAAGTGATTTAGAATGATTTTCTTAGAATCAGTATACAAACCAGGATTTAATATTGGTGATATTGTTATTATCATTTCCAAACTCTCCAAAGGTTATTAAATTTTATGGGCACCAGTGTCACCAGTAGACTTGTTTTAAGCCCCACCCCCTTCTGATTGGAGATTAACAAGTACAATATTTGTCTTCCTGTACTTGTTCAAGTGGAAAAGAACTAAACTGAGCTGCTGCATCTGATTGTTACCATGGCAGCCATTAACTGTTTTTGGTAAATTGAATTGCTTCCATTCCACTTTCCTCATACAGCTGTTCACCTTCCGTTCCTCTAATCCAAATGTGATAACACTCTTTTGTTATTGATAATGCCATCAGCATTATTTCAGCCAAATTAATTCTGCAAACATTATTGAGTGCTTATTTTGTGCCAGGCACTGTCTTAGGTACTGTCCTAGGTCCCTGGGGACAAAGAGAAGTGTGGAATGTAGTTCATGACTTCAGGAAATTTATAGTGCAGGTGAAACATTTCTCAAAAAATTCATGAACGAACATTTAAAGGTGAGAGGGTTTTTTTGCAAGAAATTCCATACATAGAGGACAGTCCAACGGACTACTATAACCGGGAGCTTTCTTTGAAGTCTTGAGTTTTTATTTTTAAAAAGGTCATGGGGGTGCCTGGGTGGTGCCTGGGTGGTCAGAGCATCTGACTCTTGATTTTGGCTCAGGTCATGGTCCCAGGATCATGGGATCAAGCCCGTCATTGGGATCTGTGCTGAGTGTGGAACTTGCTTAAGATTGTTTCTGTCTCTCCCCGTCTCTGTCCCTGTCCCCAATTAGTGCCTGCACGTGCTTTCTCTTTCTCTCTCAAAAATAAAGAAACAATAAGAAAGGTCATGGCTTATTTTAATATAAAAGACTATATTTTCCTCCAGTGGGAACATTGTTTCTGTAGGAGGATGTGCCATTTTGCCTGGTGGCTTTATCCCATGCTTATCCAAGGGGTTTTCATGCCTAGTTTGAGAAGAACACATATAGATGTAAGAATATTGGGCTCCTTTAAAGGCAAAATGTGGTAGTGTTGACAGAATTTCCCATTTGTAAGACCATTCAAGCTCCTGGTGTAAAATGTTAAGCAAGTTTGGGTTAAACTCCCCAGTCATCAGTAATTGTGATCTTAGAGAAGAAATAATGTTGCACTGTCTGAAAGGATGAAAATGGTCTCTGGGATGTGTGTCAGCACACTCACAAATTGGTTTTTACTTAGCAGATTAAAGGGGACTGTCCAGAGTAGTCAAGTGACCTGTTAACCTGAACTGGGCAGGTGTAAATGGTCTTCAGGGTCAGGATGGCCATCACCACTTCCTAGAGAACTGGAATTAGGTCTGCCAGCAGGTGAAACCAGAATGGGCATGGCCATGTGGTTATATAAGAGAGTTCAGGAAGGGAAGGTTGTACAGGGCCAAGAAAACTCCACGAAGCGGGAAGAGAACGTTGGGTGAGAGATAGAGAACAGGCTTGTAATAACCTAGCCTGGCCAATTTCTTGTGCCAGGTGTGTTATGAAAGAGAGTTTTGTACCTAGTACGTAATAAATGTGCTCGCTAAATGTTTGCAAAAACGAATGGAATAAACCTCTGTTCTTTGATTCCTTGGTTGCATTGAGATTCCTTCCTTGCATTGAGAATGCAGTTAGTTCATGTTATGTGCACTTTCTTCATTTGTTTTGTTGATTCCTTCCTTTTTTTTTTT